AGTGCTGTCAAAATACACCGGTAGCTGCTATATTACTCTCATTTTCCTGAAAATGAGGAATTGATGACAGTCCAAAAAGTGAAATCAAATAAGTGGCCTTGCCCTGCCAAAATGCAGCCAGGAAGGTCAGGGGCAGGTAGTTTTTTTCTGCCTTCTGGAAAACAGGGTGAGGGACTCTGGCTGAAACTCAAGTGAACTTTCTTTTGGAAAGGATCTCCTCCCGGTAAGGGGAGTGATAGCTTAGAGGACCTCTCCTCCATACCCCTTCTCTCTCATAGGTCTCAAAAGGACCTCCCTTTTATCTCCAGGGCTCACGGCGTGAAAGGGTCATTTGTTTCCTGCAAAAGGACGTCCTGTATCTTTTGTGAGTAATTTTCATGCTAAAGGAACTCCAAACATAATCCTGTCTTGTCTGGCTGTTATTACCACCAGTCTGTGGTTACAGGGGTTTTCTCCTCCTTCGACCAGATCCTTTTCGTTTCTTCTGTGGAGGACAGTCGTCAGGCAATATTGGCTACCAGCCCAGGCAAACAGGGGCTCATCATTACCAGTTATTACCCCCCAGGTCCGCCACCGAGATTTGGCATGGGTGGCCAGTTACGGAGGAAGAGAGAAAAAAATAGTTCTCTGGCTTTTGAAAGAGATATAGCACATGTGGAAGGAAAACGGTGACTCCTGGGCTTGCGGTGCTCTCGCTGTTTGTTCTGTATTTGCTTCTGCTTTGGAATTAAGTATTTGCTAGGCTTCTGAAAATGAGAGCAAAGAGTTTGCCTAAGCCAGGTCTTCTGTGGGTGATGAACCTGCAAGACACCAAAAAAATGCAATTTGTTTTTCCCCGGTCCAAAGAAAATACATTTTTTTCCCAGTGCTGCAGTGAGACAGAGTCCCTGGACAAACAACTAATATTAAGCCCAGAGCAATAAAACTGCAGAAAGGTGTGCAGCCCCGCGGCTGCAGCAGCACCTGCCTCCTGGTGCAACAGCGCTGAGAAAACAGTTTAGTTTAATGCAACTGGAGAGAGAAGGTAATTTTTGCTGATGGATGGGTGCCCAAAAATCCGCAGGACAGGTGGGGATGAAGAGGGGTCCCGATCCTCCGTGGAAGGAGGATCTCCCCCAGCCGTAGCCACGCTGCTCGCTGGTGGTGTGTTATGGGTCTGGCCCGTGGTGGTGCACGTTGTCTTGAAGAGTGTCAATTTTGCAACCTGCCTGGATTTCCTCTTCCCGTGGCCATCTCCATGGCTGCTGTTCACCACAGCCATTGCATTTCAGCCAGCAACAATAATTCTTCAAAACAGTCTGCTTTGAGACAAGCAAGCTGTGGAAGAAGAAAGGGGGAAAGGGAAAATTTGGTAGCAGCCTGGCTGAGCTGGGGTGGAGGTTATTAAAGAAACGTCACCTTCAGATCAAGTTTGGGATGGGAGATCTTTTGCAAAGGGCTTCCCAGTGGTCCCATCCAGCCCGATACAGCAGGAGCGGGTTTGTAGGGAGGAAATGGTGTGGTGTTTTCTGGCTCATATATTATTTGTGTTGCCACTTGCCAAAGGGGTGCAGGTCATTACCCACCAAAGGAGAGTGATTTCTACCTCTGTGGCACTTAGCATCGCCTGACCTCAGCCAGGCCCATGTAGTAGGATGGATAGTGTCCTACCTGCCAGCATGGTCAGCACCCGGTGAATGAATCCGTACATCCATCCATCC